CCGGAGGACAGGAACCGCACCCTCACCGACATGGCTGTCACCTGCAGGGAGAGGGCGGGAGCGTCAGCCTCGCACCACCACCCGGCAAGGCTGACCCAGGCTGGCACCCTCCACGGTGGCCTCCAAGGTCCTTCCAGCAGAGAGGGTGCTGTCCCAGCTCACAGATGAGAAAACCGAGGCTCGGTGAGGTTAGGGAACCTGCTTGGGAGCAACGGCAGGAGCGAGATTCAAACCCAGGTCTCTGTACTCTGCTCCGGTTCTTGGTGCCTGAGCAATGCCGTGTCCTCGTGCAGGGGGACACCGTGGCTCCTGGACCCAGCTCTTCTCCCCTCCCCTCTGCTACTCCTCTCTGCCAGTAACCCTCACCCCTCCACGAATCCTCCCTGAGCGCTGCTGCATGCCAGACACCGTGCCGAGACACGCACTGAGCAGACAGGCCGAGCTCTTGCCCTCCAGGGCTCCCAGTCCAGCAAGGAGGCCAACCAGCCACCAGACAGATACAGCAGGAGTCGATAGTGAAGGGGTGGGGGACCCCAGGGGGGCTTTGGCCCAGCCTTGAAGGAGGCGACCTAGAGCTGAGAAGGAAAGGCTGAGGAGGAGAAAAGGGAGGGGAAGGGAGGGAAGGGGAGGGGAGGGAAGGGCATCTGAGGCAGAGGGAACAGCATGGTAGAGGCCTGGAGGTGCAGATGACATGGTGCAATCCAGAAGTGACAAAAGTTCAGGGGGTCGGGCATGGCTCCAGGTGAGGTCGAGAGGCCAGCAGAGTGCAGCTCACGGAGGACTCAGCCTTACAATTGGCGAGGGTACCTGGGAGCCATGGGAGGGTTTTGGGTTTTGGTTGTTGTTGTTTTTAAATATATTTTTATTTATTTCAGAGAGAAAGGGAGAGGGAGAGAGAGGAACATCAATGATGAGAGAATCATTGATCGGCTGCCTCCTGCATGCCCCCTACTGGGGACCAAGCCTGAAACCCGGGCATGTGCCCTGGACCGGAATCCAACCTGGGACCCTTCAGTCCACAGGCCGACACTCTATCCACTGAGCCAAACCGGCGAGGGCCATGGGAGGGTTTTGAGTAGTGGGGGTGACAAAGCCCAGTTCCTGGCATCAAAGCCAGGCTCCTGGCATCAAAGGCTTCAGGAACCCCTGATCCTCTGACCCAAGCTGCAACGAGGTCAGCCTCGAACCCTGGCTGTCTTCCCTTTTTTCCAAACCATCTCTAGATTGGAAACATCCACACATCCCTTGGGACCATCGCCTGCTATCTTCCAGCAGGATGATCGGAAAGCTCTCCTCCATATCTAACCTAAATCTCTGCTGCTACAGTTTCCTACCTGACTCCCCAGCCAGGGTGGGGCCAGCCCCACGATTCAGGACCCCACTGCCCAGGCCAAACCTGTAAAGAATCCCACCCAACAACAAGGCCTGCTTGTGAGGCCCCTGCATCCCACATCCCCTCCACCCCCAACTGAGTGCAGTCTCCTCACCTTCGCTCAGGCTGCGGCTCTGCCTGGGGTTATGTTCTCTTTCCAGCCACATCTGTCCAGCGTCCAGTCCTGCTTTTTGCTTGTCAGCCCCCACCAGGGGCTCCAGAGCCCTCACTCTAAACCCCCAGCAGATCTGTGCAGCCCCTCAAGCCTTCCCTCCTCCTATGCACCCCCACCCCACTGCCCCACGGGGGAGCATTGGAAACAGAAAAGCCAGACCTGGGCTCAAACCCCAGCTGTAACTGTGCCGATCACAGGCTCTGGGCCTCAGTGATCACAACTGTAGAATGGAAATTCAGAAAAGGACCACGGGGCCAATGAGCTAAGAGCACACAATGCAAGAGGCACTCAGCAGGAGCTGGCTGTCTCTGTGCCACTGATCTGACCAAGACCCCCCGCGCTGCACGTGAGCTGCTGTGTCAGAGAAGCCAGTGAGCACCTTCCTTCCTCTGGGGGAAGGGCGGTGTGTGCTGAGCACCCACTGGGTGGCAAGCCCGGTGCCAGGGACTGTCACCTGCTCCAAACCCATGAACAGCAGCACTGTGTGCAGATGGGGAGGTTGAGGCAATCTGGTAATGGAGGCATCATTTATTGAATGCTCGTTATTAAGCAGCCTGGCCTAATACCTTATGCAAATTACCTCATTAAGTCCACACAACCCCCTTAGGCCTAGGAGCCACTGCAAACCTAATTTGACAGATGAGAAAACTGAGGCTCCAAGAGGACAAGGGTGGCCCAGGGACCCAGCCCGACAGCGGCAGAGCCAGGTTTAGAACCGGAGCGTACAGATGCCAGCGCCAGCACTTGTCCCTGTGCGTGCCAGGTGTCCCGCACTCTAGGAGCTGCCCCAGCCGCAGGGAGGTCCCCACAGCCCCCACCTGCCCTGTGCGGCTGCCGGTGGACCGGCTCAGAGTCCATTGTCACATTTCCGGGAATTCGGGTAGTTTGAAATCAGCCACGGTAGGAACACTTACACCACAGAAATCAGCGAGTCTACAAATTAGGGCTTTTCCGCTGCTGATTGTTAAACATTTATCAGGAACCCCATCCCACCACTCAGCATCTGCTCTGGGTGAACCGCTCCCATCCCCCACCCCCTGGGCAAGGGAATGAGGAGGGGCAGGCAGGGGGGTGGCCAAGGTCAGTGGTGGGGACGTGGGCTGGGCAGCTTCACAGCACATCCTCATGGGACCAGGGGACCAGGGCTGAGAGGCGAGGCTCCCCCACGGCGCCTGCTGCGCAGCCCGGAGTGCAGGCGGTGGGAGAATAAAGATGAGGGCAAACAGTGAGCATTTCCCCTGTGTGCTGCACGCCACAGGCAGGCGAACGTTTTCTGCAAAGGGCCAGAGAGTAAATATTTCGGCTTTGCGGGCTTTGTCACAAGGACTCAGCTCTACCGTTTTAGAACAAACGCAGCCACAGAGGACATGTAAATGATATGTAAAAGCTGTGTTCCAATAATACCTTACTTACAAAAGCAGCAGCGTCTGATGGCCGACCCTGGGTAGCCAGCAGTCTGCCTACTATCTGTGCTAAGGGCTTAACATCTCATTTAATTCTCTCCACACACTAGGAAGCAAGTGCTGTTATTATCCCCATGTTGCAGATAAAGAAACCGAGGTCAGAGAGGAGGGGAAAGGACTCATCCAAGGTCACACAGGTAAGAAACCCCAAAGCTGGGATTGGAACCTGGGCAAGGACGCCACAGCCTGGCCACTTTGTGCTGGGCTGCGCTGGCTTCGGGGGCCAGGCTGAGGGGAGGCGAGGGCTCCAGCATGGAAGTAGGTTCCTGAAGGGGACTGAAGGGTGGCCTCACGCCCTACCTGCTGGGGGGGGGGGGGGGGGGGGGGGGGGGGGGGGGAGTGTAGGAGCCAGGTCTCTGTGGGCCCCTTGGACCCCTGCCATCTCACCAGCTGGATGGAGGTCTGGAGATGGGATGTCCCGGCTGAGACCCCTGGAGTCTCAGGCACCCTGACCAGCCCCAGTGAAGGCTGGTCACCTTTGACCAGGGGTTATATTCCTGTTTAATCATTGATGGGGGCACTGACCACCCAGAACAGGGGCAAGACAGGGGCACTGCCCACTGACCACCAGAACAAAGGCTGGGCACTGGGAGACTCCCTCCACCTGCAAGCCCCCCTCCCCCAGCTGTGGCTGTCATTCACCCCGGATCATGGGCAGCCCTGGGCAGCGGGCACGCCTCAGGGCAGGAGAGATAAGCCAGAGGCCTCCCTGGCCCCCAGGAGAGGAGAGAGGTAACAGGAGTCATGCAGGTCCCAAACCTTCGGTGGCAGAGAGGGCTGCCTCTTCCCGTGTCCCTCGCTGCCTCTCTGGCCTGGCAGCCTGGGCAGCCCTGGCTGGCGATGCCACGGGGACGCAGCTGGTGGGCGCCGGGAAGACAGGCAGCTGGAGGGCTCCTCACCGCCAGCGGCTCCCCAGACACTGGGAACCGTCCTGGGCCTCTTCCCCAAGGTGTGGCTGAGGAGCCGGAGCCCACTCCACTAAATCTGTCCCCTCACTGCTGGCCAAAGCCTCCGCCCGCCCGCCAGAGGGAACCTGCAATTTCACCTCATTTGGAGGTGAGGCTTCTAAATTTAGCGCTGGGCTCCCAGGGCTGGGCAGCGCTTATGCCTGAGCCCCTCACTTAGGGCTCTTTCATATCCGCTCAAATGCCAGCCACGGCTTCATTTGCTTACAGGAGTTTCCAAAATAGCCCCTCTGGTTTAGCACGAAAGGAAATGGCAAAATAGCCTGAGGAATGTGAGTGTAGACACGAGGCCTGGGCGTCCCGAGGCTCTGGGAACTAGCCTGTCTTCGCCAGGGCGGTCCAGTTACAGCCCCTGTGACCTTCGGCCCTGCCTGGGAGGGGTTCATGTCCGGCGCCAACTCAGACCTGCAGGTGCCTGAAGGACCCGTCCCACGAGTGACCACACGAGGGCACAGGTCGGCCATCGTCCTGGACCTCACAGCACCTCTGGGCCCATTTCACAGGTGAGAACACTGGGCACAGCCACAAAGGGCCAGATGCAAGGGGAAGGTCGAATAGCCCGTGGCTCAGCCACAGGGGACATTTGTGTGGCCGTCAGGAATATGACTTTGAAGAGTAATGAGGCGAGAATGTTCAAAATAAGGCGTTGAGTGAAAAAGAGCGAGATGTCAACTATATACAACACAGTCTGTTTTCATTTTGAAACAATGCCTTCCCAGTGTTCTGCAACAGACACGTATCCTCCAAATTAGAAAAAAATGCTGATTTGAAGAAAACAGAGAGCCGTCTTTGCTCGCACAGGAATTAGGCCGAGACCTGACTCTGCGTGTCCTTTTGTCTAGAGACCACTGCTCTTCATGATGAGCCTGGGGCAGAGCAGCTCTCCTCTTCC